TGTTTTTACTAACAATGCAAATTTTTTAAGGCTACTTTTGATTGATAAAGAAACATTCAACGTATTTTGTTACAGGAAAAAAATGGCAAAAGGGACTCACTAACCCCAGACCCCATACAGTTCTCGACGGTCCCGTATGTATGTAATATATAGGCCTATAAACATACAAATGTAATTACTTACAGAATAAATTTTACATTGAGTCTGATTGTATGATACATTCTTGTATACAAGATATAACAAGGCCGCTCAAAGGTTAAGAAGAGACTTGTCCACTTCCTTTTTGAACATACAATGTATTTAATGAAACTAACACAGCGTTAAAAAATTCTAGTTAATATTTTTTTACCTTTTGTTTTTGTTAGATTTTATTTATTTTTTTAAACAAGAAACGCAATGGAATGAATAACTTGTAATAAAATGGTTTTGAGATCCCAGCCAAATGATTCTGCTGGCCTCTGTGGTAGCGCTTTCGAATATTATTTCTTAAGAATTTTGTTTTGATGTTTTATATTGATTATACATTAAATTTTAATTATATTTTATCAGTTAGGTCACGTTTAAACATGAATATTCCAAAGATTCTTCTACTATTCTAGATATTTTCACCGATTCGTTTACAATAAAATGACTGCTTCTAAAATCGAAGTTGCGAATGTTGCTAGTGCAGTCTTGTCCTAAATATTTTTCTCAGATTGCTTTATGTGGGCACTTATATGTATCATTTAACCTTTTAATCCACACAATTTATACATTCCAGTGAATTTAGAAATATCAATATCGCCGGACGCCATTTTTTTACGATGTGAATTATTTCCTTGTTCCTTCGTGAATTTCCAAAAGCGTATCCAGGAGGGTGCTTGAATTCCCTTGATACCAACGCATCAATAATATCATTATTATTAGAAATATAGTTTTAATAAGATAGGGCTCACCAAATTGGGATTTTATTTTTGACCAACTCCAATTGTTTTTTCCTTGAGAAATAACTACGTTATCGCCTAGACTCTAGGTCAGGGATGGAGACAGTGGTGATATTCGAAATATTTAACAAAGGGTTCTCTAACAGAAAATTTTTCCTTAACAATTTTTTTTTCGCTCAAATGGTGCATTAGCAACATTAGTGCAAAAACGGACCTTAAAATTAATTAAGATACCCATATAAATAAAAAAATTGCGTTGGCAAAATTAAGTCAGTTAAAATTAAACATTGTTTATGCCAGAACTATATTTTTTGATAAATAATAAAAAAAAAGTTTTCAAACTGGTTTATTTTGTACATGTTTTAATATTTTTCATTCAAAATATTTTATAAACATAAAAATTGGCTTTTTTTTAATCAGAAAAAGTCATACGGAAAGCAGTTAAACAAGAAAAACTTTTCTAAATCATTTATTTTATCGTTAGGTATTATTATAATAATAGACAGATGTCATCGTCTCTCGAAATACAATATCTTTCTTAGTTTGCTGTTGATAGCCCGACACGTGTTCCGCAGCCATCTTGTATTTTCTCGCGTGCGTGGGATTGTGGGATCTCTCTTATGACTGGATCTATAGTTTCGAGCACTCTCTCAAGTCGATCGCGATTGAACCTCGTTTCAGTCGAGATTGAGACGGTCGATGGAGGTTGCACCAGGCGAACAGGGTATAAGGCTCTAGTTTAGTAGTGTTACAGAGTATAATACATATATCTTAATATATTTTTTAAAAGAAACAAAACCACTTAGAAAGGTTACGTGTGTTTAACAACGGGTTCGGCCGAACCTGTGCGAATTCGCTGAATATCACCATTGCGACTACCATACTATATTATATCCCATGACAGCCTGAAAGTAATTGAAGTTAGTCATAGTAATATTTCAAACTTGTTAACCACAATGGTTAACAAGTTTGAAATATTACTATGACTAACCTTATAAGTTTGAAATATTACTATGACAACCTTATAGTTAATTTTTTTCTTTTGGATAACATCCTATGAACATTATCCAAGTAAAAAGAAAAACACTAAAGAAATTTGTTGATATAAATTAGAATTTTTGAATAATTATACATTTTATTTGAAAAAAGATATGTTGTAATTTACACTCTGTATACTTTAGTGTCTAGTTTGAAAAGAAAAACGTCAAACATTTGATTAACGAATTGATATAGCATTGCACTTTTTTGCAAGAGTGTATGAAAAAGTCGAAGAATTACATATTTTGATTGTATAATTTTATGTTTGTAATTCTGTATTTAACTAATAACGTCAAATGATGAATTAATAATTTCAAGTATATAAAAATACTGTTTTTTTTAACTTTGATGACAACTAAGATGTATTTTTATACATATTTATCTCATCTATAGCATAAACATAAATTGAGATCACAATTTTATTTTTAAATTAAAAATAGCAGACGCATACAAGTACATTATTATTTATTAAATAACATAAATTGCATATTATTAAATTACAATTGATGTAATTATTAGAGCTAGGACATCAACGCATTAGTATAAGTTATGATTCTTAGTGCCTAGATGTCCTAACTCTAATAATTGTATCTAGTTTTGATTTTTCTAGATTTTCTAGATAACTGATAGGATACGACGTTTGTGTACCAAGATTCCTAAGAATTATCATCCTCAATATGTGGAGCACAATAGTTGTATAGTAACTTACGATTGTTGTTCAGCGTAATTTCCAGTAGATTAGAGGTTATGTCTGAAGTATATTTATCTGTAGGAAACAAAAATCCGGCCTGCAACCCTTGTGCTGAGAAAATACTATACAAATGCATCTATACAAAAATGTCAATTACGATACTTGTGCTCCAGATAGACGAAATTAAGTATTTAGAATGTTTCTTTATTAATAAAAAAATATAGTCTAAAGGTTTTATTTTCTGTTAGTAAAAATAATGTTAATTTAATAAAATTTTTATTATTTAGTATATAAATATAATAAATACGTATGTGTATATAAACATTTATTTAAATACGAATATATAAATTAATAACGTCGGTGCGCATCTCTGTTTATTTAAATTTTCTTTGGTCTCTGTCAACAATTAGAACAATGGTGTAAGTATCGCTTTATGATTAGAGGTATGGAAATAAATGCCCATTCGCAATGAAAATTAAGCATAAACACAAAACCTTGTACAGTTACCTATGTTATTTAATGCAACCATTCACAATGAGTTACCTTAAATTTAATAATAAGACGTTAACATAAACAATAGCTTCTGTATGGAAAAATTAATAGCATTAATATTAACATATATATAATATTGATATAAATAAATAGCTTGGAGATTTCAAAGTTTAAAAGTTTTCAAATTCCAAGTGTTTACGTGATTTAAAACAAGAAACAGTCGTAGTGGTTATGGAATTCCCACTGTTGAATTTTTCTCTGGTTCAGCGGATCACCTGTTGCTCGCACTTTTAAGTTTTCTGATGCAAAACACCTAAGATGTACGCTTTGGCGTTATTTATATCCATAAACTGCACAGCTCTAGCATCAGTGGTCATCCAAACATCAATCTATTTCATCGCCGACCACTATAATAAAATAATATAAAATTATATTTGAAGTTTATTTTTTTTAAGTGCAATTTTAGCCGCCCTAAGAGTTTGGCCGCCTGCGTGCAAACACGCACTGCATACCTATCAGAACCGGCCCTAACCCGGGGAAAAATCCTCATTTTTTTCCTCTCGACGGCCCTATTCGCATAATAAGTCATAGAAAGTACAAGAAAAATCATAAAGTACACAAAGATTTGCATTGAAAATTGGTAAATAGCAGACATTTTCGAGAAAACTTATCGAAACCTACGTATACAATGAAATATTTAATGAGTCTTACCGTTTTATCATAAGGATATACAGTATTTAAATTAAAAATAAATGATTATAAAATATATTTTTAAGTAAAAGAACATCTTTCATTGTTTACAAAATGGATAAATATTTTTAATGCTATCATTTACACAAAGTTAAATTTAGTAAAATTTATTTTAAATTGTGAAATGTTTATCTTGTCACATGTAGAACCAATTTTTCATTAATTAATTTTTTTTATCTGAAAATTTTTTGAAAGATGATCTTTATAACTTTAAAATAGAACTTGAAGCAATTCAAAATATTTTTAATGAAAGGCAAATGAACTTGATTATGTTAAAAGTAAATGTTATATTCACGAGCAAACATACGCTCGTGAATAAAACATTTACTTTTAACTTTAAACATTTTATTTTTTCAGTTTTTATTTTTAAATTAATTTATGAAATTATAGTCTAATACTTGTAAGTCACTTGAGCATAAATAGTTGTAATTTCATATGGTCTGTGAATAATTTTTAAGCTTAATTGACAACAAATCGCTTTTTTAATACACTATATATTATATCGTATCAGAAAATATTTGGAGACTGGTTAGTATTTTATATTAGTCTATATAAAATACTAGCCAAAACTTCTTGGATTGCCCGGAGAATATAACAATTTTAAAATTGGCCAAAATTTTATCAGACGGAATTCATTAGTTTCTGAATCCGCTGGAAATTTAGGATACTCAAAGGAATTCAACTGAAATCTACTAATTCCTGGATCCTTCGAATGTTCTGCGAGATGATCGCCTACATCTTTCTGTTCCACTCCTCTATACTTCTTTTTTTCTTATTTATGGGTCTTCGTCTAAAGATTTTACTCCAAAAATTCCTTTTCTCTTCAGTGTCTTCAATCATTCATTTTTCAAAGCAAACAAACGAACAAGCACGTCAACAAAAATCAAAATCGAAAAAGTATTAATCAAAATCGAGAAATGTGTATACCTTAATCAAGTGAACTAGATAAAACACAAGGAAGATTTAAAACAAGCTTTAAACATAGTGTGCCCCATTACAGATTAAACATTTAATTGTCACCTTTACTATTCTTATCATGCCGTATTTATTCCAAGGCAATTCATGAAAATGCTGTTAAGTGCAATCTAAGCACACTGAAGTGGACAATGTGTCGACAAAATGGATATGAATCTTCAAATAAAGAGAGTGAAATTGAATCTTCCTTGTTTTAGCAGTCTTTCATTCACTTGATTAAAGTGTATGCATTTCTTGATTCTGATTAATAATATACCAGTCCCCAAAAAGCTATTTATATCAAAACGGATTATTGACCAGTACTAATAATGAATATTCATGCTTGAAAAAATGTTTTATCTACAAAATTCTCTTTCCACGTTTTTCTGAGTTTAGAAAATGGTTTATAAAAATATTTTCAAACTTTACGAGAAAATTTTCTTTGAAAATATAGAAATACATTGAAAGTATTACGCATGAAAAATATGCGAGTTGTTTCTAAATAATATACAGAATACGTTAGAAGCAATTCGCATTAAAAAATTGTAAACAAGAAACAAATTAGACTATAGGCTACTTTAATTATGCGTATTTACTTGAGATTTTTAAAGAAATGTTGAACAAATATTGCTTAAATTTCTCTTAAAACTATCTAATTAATTTTGAGTCTAATTTATTTCTCATAGGCCAACTAATCTTTTCCAGAATAAAAATGGAGCCATTGTTCATTAGCCTACATAGGCCAATGTGAAGAAAAATAGTTTCGTGCCCATTACAAAGTAAAAATTGTGAAACATAATACTGTATACACAGTACATTTATATATAAAACATGCATTAGAAAATCGTACGACGTAGTTAATCTATTAGATTTGAAATTTCTTACGTTTTTGCAAGAAATTTGAAATAAAGCATTTCATACACTCATAATAGAAAATCAGTATCATTTATAAAAACAGGGGATTGTAAAGCAAGAGGTCATAAAGTAAAATCTATTTTAATTTTTATATAGAGTACTTTCAACTGGATTATACACAGTATTTATAGCAAGAATGTAGTGAGCAAGCTTTTTACATTTATAGCGAGCAATTTGTAGCATTTGTAGTGAGCAAACTTTTCAAAAAAGTTGTTGGCTCGCTTTAAAATACTAAACCAAATTAAGCAGTAAATTAAACTGAATTGCTTAAATTGAATTAAGGAACAACGAGAAGAGTTAAGCTAATTAGTTGAAATAAATAAACAACAACCAAATGATTAAAAGCATTCGTTTTGTAATGTTTATATTAACCGGTAAAATACTAAACAGTGCATGAAATTATACTTTTAGTACGCATCTTTAGTAGTTTATAAATTAATTTAAAAAATCCAAATAACCTAATTCGTAAATATTTTGTATTAAAACGATAATAAAAAGCCAAATAAATAAAACGTGCAAACGAACAAAAATTTTTTCCTTATTTATTATCTAAATATTTAAATTCATAAATTAAATTAAACTAAAAAGTTTAAAAATAAATTTCATAACAAATTACGTAATTTTAATATCGATAAAATCAATATATTATCAACACGAAAGATTCTGTTCTATTGACTATTGCATTACATTTCAGCAATATGAAGTGTTAAGTATTGCTACTACATTTTATGCACATTTTTTCGAGTTAAATCTTATATGATAAAAAATATTAATTCGTAAACTAATTGAAATTTATCAGTTAATTGGTAAATTTATCAAGTAATCTGGTTACTGGCTAAATTAATATAGAACAATTCAAATAACATTTACATAATTAATTAGTTTGCAATTTAAAAAAATTCCCATTGTCTGTCTGTCTGTCCTCCTTTAATCTCGAAAATAGTGTTAGATAGATGAAAGTCAAAACCAAATATGAAACGTTTAAAAGCAGGAAGATCCGATGAACTATATACAAATTTTCAATCTAAACCAAAAATCACGTGAAATCAATTCAAAATTTTCTCTCTAAATGGAGTTTGGGGAAAAATTTTGTACATAGATGACAGGCACGACTCTATTGTTATTAGGAAAAGTATGATGTACAGGAAAAAGACACTACAAATTTGAGATGGAGAGCATATATTTTAAATTGAATAAATTAAGAATACGATTAAAAATTGTATCCTGAAATTGTGACAATGTCAAAATAAATAATTACTCGTTCAATATGTACGTTTTATATTCTTGACTTTTTTGACAAGGGAGCTTATTGTTTTAAATTTAATTTTTAATTAATAGTAAACTTTATAAAACTAATAAAACTATGAGAACTGATTGAAATCGATTAATTAAATTTTTAAAATGTTTTTGAATAAAAATATCAATATAAAACACGAACAATTTTATGAAAAAAGTTTTAGAACATTGGATTTTTTCCCTTATGACACGAAAATATTAGGAAGATCTCTCTAATTATTTAAAAGTTTGATAACTTCTTTCCTATTAATAAACTGGCCACACGAACATCGCACTGTTATTTATTTCATCCTGTATCACCTTTAAATTTTACTTAATTCCTAATGCTTATGAATTATCATACAGTGAAGCTTTCTTTAAGGGGGTCTTATCACCTCAAAAAAAGCTTCAATGTTTTTCTAAAATCTATTCTCTTTTTATTAAAAATGTTGACTTAATCAACAAAACTGATACTATTTGTTAATTAAGTCAACATCTTTAATAATAAAAAAAGAATAGATTTTTGAAATAAATAAGACCCCTTAAAGAAGGCTTCACTGTATGACGATTTATAAATTACGTGGTGAATGCGGTGTCCTTAATTTAACACGATAAATTGTTTTATATACAGTTGACCTCCCATAACACTGTTGATAATTCCGTTTTATATGAATTCCATGTTGTACGAGTCACTTAGATTTTACAAATACGTGTGCCGGGCTGTGAACGGCTCACGTATTTGTAAAATCTAAGTGACTCATACAACATGGAATTCATATAAAACAGAATAATCAACAGTGTTATAGAGGGGTCGACTGTAAGGTTTAAATAAATCGTAACGGCTTAATTAAAGATATATTTGCACTTATTAAATTCATTTCAAAATAAATTTAATAAACACTTAGTTCTAAGTAACATTTATTAAATGTTGAGTATATAATTCATCGGCCGTAGTTTATTTATTCAAGCATCTTTCTGTAAATTTTCAACCGAATTTATTTACATTATCGTCATCAGTAATCATCTGTTTATCAATCACGTGACCGCGGATCTTGCGTTAGACACGACCGTTCGCCATTTTGATAGTGTTTAAATTTTCTCGTCCAGATCGAACTTTGCCATAAGGAAAGCGAGCAAACGACGGTGCGATAATCGAAAAACTCGTGGAAGAATCGAAAACGTTTCAATCCGTGATCGAGAAGGAACAAACACCGCACTTTGTACTGTTTCATAAGAGTTACATCATTGCCATCATTGATTTCTCAACACCATTTAATAATAACTTCATCTCATCCAATCATTCCTTCATTTCGTGTGAACCAGTATTTAATACTAAACTTGTAAGTCAATTTTCCTATCATTTATATATATACTATAAAAGCCTAGACTATTATATATATTTATGTTATTATATCATTTAAACGGTTTTAATTAAAACAACAAGTGGAAAACATGATAACACTTCTTAATGGATCATACACCTTGACCTAAAAAAGAAGAAAAATGCTCTCTTTGTTATCCTTTAAATTGCTTAAACATTGCTTCATATTTTTAAACAATTATATACATTTTTAAATATATTTCCTTATAGAAATTGCTGTTGTCATGTGAAATGTTTTAACAGTTTTTTTTTATTTCCCTTAACATTTCAATGTACATCCAAATATTTATTAAATGATAATTAATTGCATTCCAGATTTGCCAGAAAAAAATTTTTTTCAGTCATTTTTACTTGCATTTGAATTTAAAAAAAAAATGAGTTAAATTAAACAAAAATTATCAGTTCTTGCGACATGTTTAGTTGCATACAGTGCTATTGGGTCCAAGTTCTGCTTTAGGAATCTTGCATTTGGATAAGAACTTTTAAACCTATTTATATGATTTTTTTCTGTAGGAGTGTTAAATATTTAACTTAAATAATGAACTGAGGTATTCATAAATAGACTAAATTAGGAAATTGCTAATTAACAAAAATTCATATTTAATGAGTGTTTAAAATTTACTGTATTTACTGGTATATAAGACGAGGTTTTTATTCATTTTTCACTGATTCAAAAACCAAGGTCATCCTATATGTGCAAGCAAAGGATTCTTTGAGTTTTTGCAATAATTTTTGTGAACCATGTATTTGCATTTTTTTATTACATGCTCACCCTCTGGGGTTTAAAAACAAAAGTATTTTATCTGGATTGTTTGAATCATTCTTGTGTATAATCAGGAGTAAAGATGAATAGGAATAGGAAAAGCAAAACTTTTGAATTGAATTCCAAATTGAAATTCCAAAATCACACAATAGCTCGAAATAAGTTTTAATCTGTTCCTACGTGAAAATGGATGATTATTCAGAAATCAGAATTTGGAGAAACTCGTAAGTGTAATTGACGAAGAGTGGATTCGACTGTTAAGAATTGGCAAAAAAAGTTCCCAATTGTCCATCTTTATGCAAACAAATTATGTTGTCATTTTACAAGATTTTTTCCTTAAAGATTAAAATGTCAGTAATTTCTGTGGAATAATGTGTGCATTTATGTGCATTTGATATTTTTTTTTATGATTAAATGAAATAAAATTAGAAATCTATTAATAAATCTAATTTTATTTATTTTGATCTTTAAAGTCACACCTTGTCCTATATGCGAGATTGTCTTATGTGTGAGTAAATGTGGTAAATTTGTTTTTATTTTATTTTAGAATAAGATATTTGGTCATTTGGATTAATAAAAGTTATTGCCAAGTTTAAAAGCTATCTTATAGAAAATTTTAAATATAATAGCTGAAATGTAATAATTATAAATAATTTAATAAAATAGAGTTTGTATTATGGTTTCCAACTCCAGGACTTGCCAGGAGAATTTTTTTAAACTCTTAAATCAAGATCTATTCTTTCTGTATTTGCTTGGCAAGATGATCAATATTTGGGTTAGATATTAAAACAGACAAAAGAATAGATGATGGTATTTCGATATTACTGAGAGTAAAAATATCAAATTTTCCATAATTATTTTACTTCTGGAATAGAAAACGACTGGAATCGACTCTTTGGGAGTTAGCTTAGTTTGTATATACAGTATTTTATATAACTAAAATAGACTAAATATAAAAGGATTTTTGAACCTAATAGGTCTATACCCTATATTAAATATTTTTTAAAGGTATAAGTAAATATTACATAAAAACAAAATTTATGAAATTTAAATGATTTATTAGATATGTTTACTTAAAAAATAGTCTATTACAGGGATAGGCAACCCGCGGCCTGCATTAATATTTTTTTGCGGCCACATCACATAAAATATGAATAAATATATCAATTTTCTAGCTTAAGGAAGTATGCAGCAAAAATCCAAATGTTATTTCTACAACTTATGTATGTGACTAGTTTTTCTGCAATGAATTTAGTAAAAATTAAAACAAGAAACTGGCTAACAGACATATCAAAACTAATTTAAAACTATCAGCAACTAATATTTAACCAAATATTTCTGATATATTATGTTTACATCACTTCCAGAAGCTAAATTTTAGTATACATATGCTAATTTATAATTATATATGAATAAATAATTGTGATTTACTGGCATTTTTTTCTCTTTTCTCTTGTATGCAGCCCATATCAGTTCAAAAGTTTTAAAATGCAGCCCTTACATAGAAAAAGGTTGCCCATCCCTGGTCTATTAGATTATATCATTTATTTTTATACTATAAAAATTTTGGGTTTGATTGAACTTTGATGAATTATTTTGATTTCTTATGAATAAACTTGAATTATTATTATAACATTTTTTTATATTTGTTGAAAATATACATTTTTAACTAGATTTTTTAAATTTAAAATTGATAAGTATCTAAATTTTTTAATTTAAATGTCAACTAAAATCTGTAAAAATTGAATCAGAAGTTAAATAAAATTTTAAAATATAAACTAAATTGATGGAATGGTAAATTTGTAAATCTGTGTGTAATATACAGGGTGTTCTGCTTAAAACTACCTGATTTTAATCCAATATAAAAAATGAATGATTTAAGATATATTAAAGCAATGAGCAGTTGTTTATTGTGACAGTGTCACAATGCTGGACTGCAATTTTTAATCATATTTTTAATTTATTTAATTTAAAATATATGCTCGCCACCTCAATTAGTAGTTGTTTGCCCCTGTACATCATACTTTTCCTTTAACAATAGAATTGTGCCAAGTCATCATACCTTTTGGGGGAAAATTTCTAAAAATTGAAATAACATGACTTCTGGTTTGCATTGGAAGTTCTTACATAGTTAATTGGGGCCTCCTGTCCCGAAGGTTTCCGTATCTGGTCTTCTCTTTCTACCTAACTTTGTTCTTGAGATTAATTAAGGAAAGACAGACGAATGATGGTGGGAATTTATAGGTCTATAGTTTTTTCAAATTTCACCCCAACAAGTGACATTGGTGGGAAAATTCATCAAGTTTTATAGCGATTGTTTTTTATGCTGTGAGATGGTGCAGAATTTGAATTGTGAGCATTGTTGTTGAGTCATGGCTTCATCACAGGATAAAGTGTAGGTAGCTGTCTGTATGCCCAAGTGTGACTGCCAAGATCTCCTGATCTGATCCTTGTAGATATCTTTATGGAGTTATATGAAAGATATGGTTTATACAACTTCAGTCAGGATCTTCAGGAGTGCACCTACTGATGCAACAGCATACATAGCAGGAAATTGCCTACTACCTTGATGTTGTCACTGTGACTGCTGGAGTGCACATAGAGATGTGTTGATTTTTTTCAATGAAATTTGGTGAGTTTTTCCTTCATATAAAATCTTTGGTGAACTTTTATCTTAATCATTAATTTTTATATCCAAATCAAATTGGGTACTTTTGAGTGCAACACTATATTATTAGTCTGTAGATGCCAATTATAGATATGTATTAATTTAACAGAACAGTGGTACCTCAAGACACGAACGCCCCAGAATACAAAATTTTCAGGATTCGACATGAAATTTGAACATATTTTTGCTCCACGATACGAACAAAAACTCACCATACGATATTACATTAGTTCGCAGTGCCATTTTTTATTCACTTCTGTTCATTGGTCTCAGTTTGCATGTTTGCTTTGTTGTGGAAGGACCTTGCTTGATAAAGAAAATCTTGAGGTATTAACAGAAAGTGACTAATTTTATTGAAAAGAAACATCCCAAAAAGGTTCACACTAGCTGTATTGCTGCTCAGAGTAATGACATTTGCCTAAGTCATTTTAGAAACATTTTAAAAAGTAGGCAAAGCCAAACCTCTTTGGATAGATATTTTACCAAGCGACCTCTATCCAGTGAAAGTGCTGGTGGAAATGAAGGAAAGAAAGCAAAAAGCAGTGAATAAAAATTTAAAAGATTATATAAAACAGCACTAATTTTTTTATCTTTTCTAAGTTATTTTTAAGTTATTGATACTAAAACTTAACTTACATGTTATGTAAGTTAAGTTTTAGTATCATTTCCCTTCTTCCTCTCCTCCGCCACCAGTTTACATTTCCACCATCGTCTATCCTCAAAGGTAAAGTGCAAATAAAACTACATTTTTTTTTTATCAATTATTATTCTGTTATGGTTATTTATACATTTACAACTACAAAATGCATTTTTCAGTGATTTTTAAGTTATTGTTACATTATGTTATATACGTTAAGTTTTAGTATCATTTCCCTTCTCCCTCTCTTCCGCCACCAGTTTACATTTCCACCATCGTCTATCCTCAAAGGTAAAGTGCAAATAAAACTACATTTTTTTTATCAATTATTATTCTATTACGGTTATTTATACATTTACAACTACAAAATGCATTTTTCAGTGTTTTCCTTACTATAGTTATTTTTTTTTAAATNTCTTTCACCAATATTTAGAATGGAACTTCAGGGTGGACATAGGTTGTATATTATTCCATAAACATTCATATAAATTAAAACATATCATCTAGGGCAGGGCTTCTTAAACTTTTTTTATTCACGACCCCATTTATGATTGTGATTTTTTTTGCGACCCCAAAAAAATATAAAATAAAGATATACAGTATACAAATTTGCAAAAACAATAATGCTATACTACCACAGTTCAGTCTTGTGTTACAATGGAACAGAGACAACTGAATACACTGAAAAGCGACAATACTACACTAGTTCACACTACAATCAGTGTTGCTGAATTGTTGTCTCACTGCACCAGAAGTGACACGAAGCGCAACTCACGAAACCTATGACACAAAGCGTGCCATTTTCAAACTCTCACAAATTATTTTCAATATTTTGCATTAAAATCTCACGACCCCAAGATTTCACTAAGCGACCCCAAATGGGGTCGGGAC